TCAAATGAAAGAAACAAGTCGTGAGATAAAAAAAAGAAGAAGTTGAGACTCTAGAAAGAGTACAGAGAAGAGCAACAAAGATGATCAGGGGACTGGAGGCTAAAACACACAAGGAACATTTGCTGGAATTGGGTATGTCTAGTTTAACGAAGAGAAGGACCATGGGGGACATGATAGCAGTGTTCCAATATCTCAGGGGCTGCCCCAAAGAAGAGGGAGTCAAGCTATTCTCCAAAGCCCCTGAAGGCAGGACAAGAAGCAATGGATGGAAACTAATCAAGGAGAGAAGCAACCTAGAACGAAGGAGAAACTTTCTGACAGTTAGAACAATTAACCAGTGGAACAACCTGCCTCCAGAAGTGGTGAATGCTCCAACACTAGAGGTTTTTAAGAAGAGACTGGACAGCCATTTGTCTGAAATGGTATAGGGTTTCCTGCCTGAGCAGGAGGTTGGACTAGATGACCTCCAAGGTCCCTTCCAACTTTATCATTATTATTATTATTATTAGAAGCAACCTAGAACTAAGGAGAAACTTCCTGACAGTGAGAACAATTAACCAGTGGAACAACCTGCCTCCAGAAGCGGTGGATGCTCCAACACTGGAAGTCTTTAAGAAAAGACTGGACAGCCATTTGTCCGAAATGGTGTAGGGTTTCCTGCCTGAGCAGGGGGTTGGACTCGATGACCTCCAAGGTCCCTTCCAACTTTACTATTATTATTACAAAAACAAGCAATCGCCAAGAAAATATGCTCACTTTACTTGCCTAATTCATCTCTCTCCCCCTTTTATTTTTTACTCCTCTCCACCTTAACAATAACAACGCAGACCAAAAGAATCCAAATCTTTTGTATTATTTACAAGCTAATGAAGAAAAACAAGGTGAGCTGAATTCTGCAACTAACTCCAGTTCGAAATACTAGGGAATCCTGACAGCAAATCCTTGCAGACGATTCTATTTTCCCCTATATTTTAATTTCAAATCAATATAAGAACTTATTGGTACATACTGTACATCAAATGAAAAATAAAACAGGATACACAGACTGGTCTCTCCTTCCTCTTAAATCGATTCTTATCTGGCATGTGACAGCCCCAGAAAAAAGAGCAGAAAGAAAAGCAGTGCTTTTTTTAAATAAAAAAAAAAGGATTTTGAAATATTTTGTAACATTTGCATTTTAAGATCGGGAAGAAAGACTGTTGTATTGGTTTTTAGCTGCATTTAGCCACTGCTTCTGAAGTTTTCTTTTCATTCTGCTGGACACTGACAGTGGTTAAATTCGATTTGATTTGGAAAGACGTAAATCAAGAAATAAATCAACATGTAAAAGTTTTTTAAAAAGTGTTTGTCTCGACAGAGGTAAAATTCCAGAAGTCCCTAAAAGGATCAACGTAAGACATCGGATGAAACTGTCGACGTGGATTCAGTGCCATCCCACGTGGCACAAATGTGAGACCGCACAACACCGATGGAATTAGAGCCAATCCGAGAACTGTTGTGGGTCTGCTAACAACCCCTAAAAACTACTTGCGCCTTTGAAATGCTTGCTTATCTCAGCTGAGTTCAAAACCCACTTTTTTTTTTTTTAGTTTAACATAGCCATATTCAGCTGAGCATCTAAGAGAAGTATTAAAGTGCAAACAAATACTAAAGTAAGTGGTTTTGATTATTAACAAGGATAACAGAGTTGGGAGGGATTTTGGAGGTCTTCTAGTCCAACCTGGAGACCCCATACTATTTTGGACAAATGGCTGTCCGATCTCCTTCTGTGATGGAGCACCCACAACCTCTGGAGGCAGGTCGTTTCACTAATTAATTGTTCTAACTGTCAGAAAATTTCTCCTTAGTTCTAGGTTGCTTCTCTCCTTGATTAATGGCAATGACTTCATTGATCTGGTTAATTTCATCACCATCAAACCGCCAACCCTTTGATTTTTTTTTTGAAAGCCAGACGCTAGAAAACGCCCACAGTCCAGATGTTCTGCCTGAATACGCTGCTGGAATTAATTCTCTGCTGATGATGTTTCACGTTCTGATAATCTATCCCGGGGTGTCAAACTCAATTTCATTGAGGGCCGCATCAGCATTGCGGTTGCCCTCGGGGGGGCTGGGTGAGTGTGGCCAGGGTGGGTGCGGACTACTGGGTGGGCGTGGATGGAGTGGGTGTGGCCTACTGGGTGGGCATGGCCAGCTCTACATCGTTCGCATCAAGGGTGCCTGTGGGGGCCTACTGGGCAGGAGTGGGACAGATCTGAGAGTCTCTGGCAGAAGGGGGTGGGACCGGGGCAAGCGCCAAGGCATGGTCAATTTCTTCATTCCTCACAAAGGGTGACACCTCCCATGCATGCACCCAGGAGGTGGGCCAACGCGGCAGGGGCTAGTTCCTCGCTGTTTCCAGATGGCCTTGTGGAGCTAAGACTGAATGCATTTCAGCATAGATGGCCACCACAAAATTGTACATTGGCTCCCGGACGGCCTGGGCCAGGGCCAAGGCAGAGGGGGCCGTTCCCTCACTGTTTCCAGGATGGCTTCGTGGGCCTGTACTTTGGTGAAGCGTCCGGCGTAGGCCGGGGGTCGGGAACACAAACTGTACAGACTAGATAGGGTATAGGAAACTCCCTTTCGTAGCTATTCCGTTATGTCGGTTTTATGTCTTGGGACGGACGAGAATTAGAAGAGGAATATCGACGGACATGAACCACTACAACAGCGACTAAAGAAGGGTTCTACGTTTCGTTTTCAGCCATAAATCCTTACACGTCTCCTTAATGATTGCGACAGAGCTGGCTTGGAGAGTCAAATTAAAGAGCTGCTGGGAAGCTACTCACCGTCTCTTATTTATGACTGGAATAATCAGGGTCAGACTCTCTGCGCGTTCGTCAGAAAGAGTTAAGGGACAATTGCACTTAAGGATTAATTATGGCTACTCCCGGAGGGAGCAAATGCATCTACCGCAGGGCTTTTCAACCTTTTCACCCATTGTACCACTTTTAGGATATGGCAACATCCGAGTACCACCAGTCGCCTAGCAAGGTGTCAAAAACTTGATGACCCCCCCCCAAAAAAGGACAAAAAGTGATAAAGTACAGGTAGTCCTCGACTTACAACAGTTCGCTTAGTGACTGTTCGAAGTTACAGTGGCACTGAAAAAAGTGCCCCCCAAGCCACAGCCGAGCAAGACACCTGCCTGCCCACCCGGCAGCGCTCTTCCTCCTGTCCGAGGTTTTCATTGTTGTGAGCATTTCTGTTGAGGATTGGCAGCGGGGGTGGGGTGGTGTTTGGTTTTTATTCCCCCCGTCTGCTGGGTGGTTGCAGCAGGTTTTGGTCACTTCACTTGACTCTGGGACACTGTGACCGTCATAAACATGAATCAGTTGCCAAGCATCTGAATGTAAATCACAAGACCCTGGAGAGGCTGCAACATTCCAGCTGATTGGTGCTTCTTCTGGGCTCAGCAGAAGCACCAGGATCAGCGCCGACCTCCAGCTGGAGCCTGGCACTGATCCTGGCGCTTCCACTGAGCCCTGATAGCCCCGAAGAAGCGCCAATCATCTGGAAAACAGT